AAGAAAATATCAGAATATTTAGAACAAATGGTTTCAATAGATTCTTTCTCTTCATTGTTTAAATGATTAAGTTCTAATAAAGGTAACAAAGATTTAGCCCTATTGGAGCTACTTTTACATTGACCAAATTTAAAAATGTTATACTCTCTCAAAGGTTCCACGTCTAAAGTAAAATTGTTTAATCTTATTTCCTCATCTGTAGTATTTAAAATCTTAATTGGTACGCGTTTATTTTTCGGTTGAACAATAGTTCCTGCCAAAAATACATCCTTTTCTATCTCTCTCGCGCACACATAACAATCCTCTTTCACTTCCTTATTCAAATACACATAATGTATAGACTCACTTCGAGGTGCGAGTACTAACGAGTTGCTATAATCAGGTTTATCGAAAATCGGTAAAATACAATGCTTACCATCAATTTGCAGCGTCAGCAAATTATTTTCTAAATCTATTTTAGCCTTATACCTAGTCATAAAATCTAATCCTAATATTCCATCAACGGCGATAGGTAAATTCTTGAAACTATAAAACTTGCTCGTAAATTTATCATATTTAGAACTGTAAATGTCTAAAATAACATAACTGGAAGCTTCGGTCTTTCCTCCGATTCCATTTACTACTAAGTTATTGTAAAATATTTCACTCGACTTAGGAATTTGTTCTTCCTTAATTACCGAAATAGATGCAACGGTATCTAGTAGTATAATCTTCCTATTCTTAACATAAAAGTTTACGAATTTAGTGTTACCTTTACAAGCAAAAACTAAGTTATTAAGTCCGAAAAAACTGGTTACTCTCTCTCTCTCATCAGCTGGGTGTGCTACGTTATCAGCAGTTCGTACTGGCCTATCATTTTGTAACGCTAATATTCTATTGTTAAAATTACCTTTCTTGTTGTTGTATACCCTTCTGTTGTTGTAGAACATGTTTTGTCCTCTAACTCGCGGCGTATACTGTGTGAAGCCTCATAATTATTATTAATAAATAATAATTAAATTCACTATACAGACATTTAAAAATGTCATAGAAATTATAATTTAAACAATTAAATGCAAGTAATAAGCATAAAGTTCAAAAATATCCATTTGGAATATTGAATATTATAATATTAGTAAACGCATGAAATGTCTCTAAAAATCTCTAAATTTATTAAAAACATGCTTAAGTTGTTCAAAATGTATCAAATCATATAAATACAAGGCGATTATATTGCAATAACAAAGATAAATAACATTTGTAATATAATAGAAAAAATGGATCAAAATTTTCTAAGTTGATGAACGTGTTCTTGTAATGTTGCCTTATATTGGGGCGTGGCCGGTGACACATACCCAAGGTTGTACATATATATGGGGTGGTCGGCTGACCGACTGCTTGTACTAAGGTTGCACAATGACTAGTCCTATATTAGGGACTTATCATAGTAAGGTCTAACGAACCAAAGCATTAATATAGAAGGTCTCTATGATGCATGAGCATTATGATAGCAGAGTTATGACTTGAAGTCCCATATGAATAAGACATACAATAGTATGGTCTATGAAATAAAGCAAATGTGTGGAAGTTCTCAAATATGTAAAAGCATTATATTGAAAGAAATGGGACTTGAAAAGGATTATTATAGTGGCGTGTAGGTTGCTTCGCAGCCTCTGAGACCGAGGTAAACTTGAACTCACTAACTGATGTGTCCTAGACATATCATCTTAGTGCCGGTGGTAAGCGGGTTTGTTGTAGCAATACGACTTGCCCGTGGACATCGCACACCCCTACCGTTTGTGGGCGACGTCTTAGGGCATAGCGCGTTATGATACGTCGGCTATCTTTCGGATTAGGGTGAGTGTGTTTGGTAGTACTTTTAAGTGCAGCAAGCATACTCAACTTCATGTCTTAGTGCAATAGCGCTATGATACGTGGAGTTTTGGCTACTGACGTCTTAGTATCGTACTACTATGATACGTTGGTGGTATTTTTAGTTAACAGCATTATCAATTTTGTTACCACAGTCGATAGGGATCATGTGGGTGTGTTGTGAGGGGGCGCCATCCGTATGATAGTTGCATTGATGCTTACTACTACTTGCAGTATTGCGTCTTGTGATGGATCTGCGGGTGTGCTGCACCTGAATTGGCGCATTTTGTGGTTCTGGTCGATGGAGGTAAGCGGGTGGTGATGTCTGCTGGGACTGTATGGGGGACCTTGGGATGGTGTAAGCCCGACGATAGTCGTATTGATGCTTGTTGCATTCTGCAGCATTGCGTCTCTACGATGGTTGTTTGGCGGGTCGCTATTCTCAATGGCGCTCCCTGCATGTTGGTTTGACTCACAACCTAAGTAGCTTTGCCCAAGTCGGGTCCCTTCATTGCGGGGCTGCAGACTGTCTGCCCTCCATGATGTTTTATATAACACCATATTATAATATATCTCTATAAAGTTCCCACCTTTGGAAGATTGAAGACAACTTGTTGGTGGGTGAGACAAACATGATCTAAAAATGCATATACTCAACGTCAGTGACACAAACCCTTTCTGATGGTGAATTATTACTATTATCTTATAACTGCCTATTGGCTATATCTGCCATTGTATTGGTTGGTGGAGCATATGTGTCGACCTCATGCGGGTGGTAGCTGGAGGGAGAATCTGAGGAGGCTCTCAAGGCTGCGATCGAAAGCCGCGCAACGTGGGACCCCATTCCCTTGAGGTGAGCGGTAGACTCATGACACGCTCTGCGGCCAATTGGCCGTGCTGACCATGCAATTGGTGGTGATGCCTTACACTTACATCACGTCTGCAGGAACGGCGGTCTGGCAGGTGGTGGCGCTCACGGAAGGCTTTTTATGGCCAGTGTGCCTATTGTTGCCTAACCCGTGTGACGTACATTCACTGTGGCTGGATTTGATCGTATTCTGTATGGCGTTTACACGCATTGACATGCGCGACTTCGGTCGATGTTTGTGCTTACGCACTGTCAAGGGGCCAAGTCCTCTTTTACTGGTTCGCCAGTTATTTTGCTTTGGACTACGGTCCAGTTCCAACTTAGCGTAGCCTTCGGGGGGAGCGCATTAAAATGGTTGGCGTTCACCGTGTGCGGCGTGTGCGGAGCCGTGTGCCTCCTCCACATTTTTTTTTAAATGTGGGAGAGCGAATCCATTGTAGCTGGTATTTGATATAAATATTGTGAGCCTTTTCCAAGCGGGAAGGAATTAATTAATAAGGAATTGACTGTTGTGAACCAGATACAAGTGGAATAGGGACAATTTATTTTTCTTAACCTTTTTGAGCTCTGTCTTCGTGAACGGGGTTCTTTAGCTTATAAGACTCTACCAACAGCTTTCGATTGCTCTCGTGAATATTCATTCTTCCAAGATACACCTAAAAGAACTAAGTTACTATACAAACACAACGTAAAAAAGGGTCCTAACTAAGACGATCACGCCATATATTTATTAAACGGCCTATATTTAAACCTTTAGAAAGATCAAGATATACTGGTCACGTAAATTAGATATATTTATATATCTTACAGATATAGATTCTAAAGAAATACAAGTATAAGTGGATATATAGAAAGAGAAAAAAGAGGGGGGGGGGTACGTTACAATTTGGTGCCGTGACCAGGATAGAGGTTAAATTTTAAATAGGAGGCCGGTAATATAAAATTATGAGGTAGGCTATATGCCTACAATTTGTTGTCCGTGAACTGGAGAGATGTCTTGGAGAGTGGTGTTTGCTATGGGTGGTTGAGAGTCTGGGGGTGGGGCTTAAATATTAAAATTGAGTAATAATATAGGAGGTGTGTGCATAACAACAATAGACATAACAGATTTCTTAAGAAACTTAGATGACATCGACAAACAAGATGAAGGTCGTGAACCTTAGTATAATGAGAAAAGGAGAAAGTTTAATAATAATATGGAGCAAAAACATAAAGAAATACAACAATCATACAAAACATGGCGTAAACCCGAAGAGGAGAAAAAGAAGGTTAATGAAGTACATGAAATACATTTCACTAATGACCTACCTGATGTTACGGCCCCTGAGCCAAATTTAGAGCTGTAGAGGTCGAACTAGTTCCCGATTCGACCCCTTACAATGTAAAAGGGAACAAAGCATTAAATATGTTATTAAAACTGGGTTGGCGACCTGGTCAAACACTGGCTAAAAACAATAGAGGGTTGCGAAAATCTATTACTTTAAAAGCAAATTTTAACAGAGAAGGCCTTGGTTATAACGACAATGTAAATAGTATATTAAACACCTTAAAAGCCAGGTCGCACTTGCTCATAACGGAGTTATTCGTGCAAACCGTCTTCGAGGAAGACGAAGATAAATATCAAAGGGAATTTATAGGGAATATGAGATCTGAAATTAAAGTTTCAATATTTGGCAAAGAAATAGACGCGCTCCTCGACACTGGGAGCGATGTTACATGCATTTCAGAAAGTTTATATTTACAAATTAAAGATAGTAATCGTAAAACATCAATAATGCCAGTTAAAGCAATGTAAACAAAAGGTGCTGTTGGGCAGCGCAGCACAAAAATACAACAGATGATCATATTGCCTATAAAGATAGATGAAGTAGTCTTTGAAACACAAACTTTAATTGTAGGTAATTTAATAAGACCTTTAATATTAGGCTTTGACTGGCTCAAGAGAAATAAAATATTGATTGATTTGAGAAATACTACTGTTGGAATAGAATTTAAAGTGAAAAACAAAGACTACTTTATACCTTTCAAATATAATAATAAATCTGTATTACATGATAACTGCATCGAACAATGTACCGATGATCCGTTAACAAATATAAAAATAGGATCTACATTGGGGGTCTCTGAAAGGGCAAAACTTAGTAAGGTTTTCGAAAAGCATAAGAATATGTTTTCGAGCAAATTGGGAAGAGCCAATTGCTATGAGCATAAAATTGAAATGATCGATGATGAACCTATAGTTACTAGGTCCTATCCCATTCCATATGCATATAGAGCGAAAATGGAAGAAAAGTTAAATGAAATGGAACAAGCTGGTATCATCACAAGGACATCAACGCCTTACAGTAGTCCATTGACATTCACTCTTAAAAAAGATGGCTCAATTAGAGTTCTACTTGATGCCAGAAGCATAAATAAGAAAATGGTTGCAGAAACAGAGAAACCACCTATACAATTAGATGTTTTGAATTCATTTCACGGAGCGAATTATATCACTACCATTGACTTAAATAATGCATATTTTCAAATTCCGATAAATAAAGATGGTAGAAAATATACTGGATTCACATTCAATGGAAGGTCACATGTATATAATGTTCTGTCGCAAGGATTAAAAACATCAGTAGGAAGCTTTAGCAGAGCTATGAATTTAATATTAGGACTAGAAGTCCAAGAATTTTGTGTGAACTATTTAGATGATCTAGCCATTATTACAACAGGAACGTTAGATAAACATTTGGAGCATATTGATATTGTTTTAAGTAAATTGAACAAAGCTGGCTTAACGAGCAACTTGCAGAAATGTGAATTTATTTGTAAAGAAATTAAATTAAGTTTTATAATTTCAACAGAAGGCATAAAGACAGATCCCGATAAGATTCGAGCGATCCAAGAGTTTCCAGCACCTAAAAAGATTAAACAATTAAGGGCCTTTTTAGGTCTATGCAATTTTTATAGAAGGTTTATACCAAATTACAGCGAGAGCATAATACCGCTCTGTGAATTACTTAAAAAGGGACGTAAGTTCCAATGGAGCGGTAAAGAACAGAAGGCATTTGATTTTATAAAACAACAATTTATTAATACAATACAATTGCATCATCCAGACTTTAATAAGCCGTATTATTTACAAACAGATTGCTCCGGTGTGGGTATGGCCGGAGTACTATATCAGATAGATGATAATAATGAAATGAGAATTTAAGGCTATCATAGTAAAGCCTTAAAAGGCCCCGAATTAAATTGGTCTGTTACTGAACAAGAGTTTTATGCTGTAATAAGCTGCCTAAAGAAATTTGAAACATATTTGCGGGGCAGTAAAGTAATAATACTAACTGATCATAAAGCATTATTGTTTATTAATAATATGAAGTTATTCAATGGTAGAGTAACCCGATGGATTTTGTATATAGAACAATTTAATTATGAAGTACAGCATATATCGGATAGACGTAATATTGTTGCAGATGTGCTATCACGTTATCCTCCTGATGGCGATTTAATACAAGAGGATAAAAATAATAGTTTAGAAATTGCTTACACAGAGAGCGAACCGAATATTGAGTTGATAGAAAAATTAAAATCCTTATCAGTATATCAATTACAAGATTCAGAGTCGTTGGCTATTATTGAAAAGTTAAAGACATTAAATACTCCCATAATAAAACAAAACAATAAATTGAAAAGGTATAGTTTGAAAAATGATGTATTATATTACAAAACGAATTTACAAGAAGTAATATATTTACCTAAAGCATTGAGACAAGATATTATAAATCAAGTGCATGTCGAAATGGGTCATCAAGGACCCTATAAGGTAATTAAATATGTGAGAGACAGATTCTTTTGGAAAGGTTTAACAAAAGATATTAAAAACCAATTAAGGGCTTGTCATTTATGTCAGTTATCAAAGAAAAGCAATATAACATATGTGGCTCCCTGCAAATCTATAATAACAGAAAACATTGGCGATATAGTCATGGCAGACTTATATGGACTACTTGCATCAGGTACCTTTGGGTACACTTTCATATTTGTCATTCAAGATTCATTCAGTAAATTTATCAAATTATATCCTTTAAAACAGTCAACTGCAAAGTCTGTTGTAACAAAAGTAAAGCATTTTGTTGAGATTATAAAGCCCAAGGCAATAATGACAGATAATGGAAAACAGTTCGTAAGTAATCACTGGAAACAATCAATGAGTGAATTAAATATAAAGCCAATATATACCACAGTTAGAAATCTTAGACCAAATACAACAGAGCGAGTAAATAAAGAGTTGAGCAGATTATTTAGGACGCTTTGTCATACTAACCACAAAGATTGGGCGTTAATATTGCCGAAATTAGAAGAATTGTATAATAATTCTTATCACAATAGTACAGGCTTCACGCCTTGTGAGATTCTTTATGGTGAGTCTAATGAGATGTCTTTTGACAAAGTAATTTCCAAAAGTAAATACAAACATAATGTCGAACAAATTAGACAACAAGTGCGTAAAAATTTAAAAGAGGCAAGTCGAATAAGAAACACAAAATTTGATAAGCGAAATAGATTAATAAAATATAATATTGGTGACTTAGTAAAAATTTCAAGATCTAGTAGATCAGACGCTGATAATAAAGTTATGAGTAAGTTCAATTTGGCATATGAAGGACCTTATGTAATAGCAGCCGTACGATTTGACAATGTATATACCTTAGCAAATCCAGAGACAAACGAAATTAGAGGAATTTTCAATGCTATTCACTTATTAAAATATTTTAAATAATAATTTATTCTTGTATAAATTAGAGTAATTAAATAAATATTGTAACATAAAAGGGTTTTGTGGGTGGCCCACGGAAATAATTGTTTAAGTTAAAGGTCTAAAATTATTAAAGTTATGAGCAAGAGATTTGTTATATGATAGAAGAACGTTATTAATAAATAATGAAGAGTTGTAAATATAGATCGTAAGATAATTTTGTAATCATTTTTATTAAATAAATATGGGAGTTGGGTCAGGATGAATGGCTCAATCACATTTATCCTATGTGGTATCGAACTGACCTCAACAAATATCCAACTGGATTGTATGCACATAAAGTGTGAAACTATCGAAATAATGTTTCAAAGATTTAAAGATAAATTAATAAAATAAGAAATCGACAATTGACTGCAAACTTTATTAACAACACAATATACAATAACTTGAATTATGGTGTTATCACATTGTGATAATTGTGGTTGAAGGGGTGTTGGTGGCGGCCATTCTCTGGGGTAGGGGGATTTGATAACATATGCCGTATTGTAACAGATTAAGAGAGGAAAGAACAGATATATAAACAATTATTTGAGTGTAGTGTATATGCTCTCAAAATACTAAAATTTCATATTAACGACTCCACTATGTGGATCATTAACATACAATTTGAGGGTGGATTGTGACGCCTCATAATTGTTATTAATAAATAATAATAAATTAACTATACAGACATTTAAAAATGTCATAGAAATTATAATTTAAACAATTAAATGCAAATAATAAGCATAAAGTTTAAATAATATCCGTTTGGAATATTGAATATTATAATATTAGTAAACGCATAAAATGTTTCTAAAAATCTCTAAATTTATTAAAAACCTGCTTAAAATATTCAAAATGTATCAAGACATATAAATACAAGGCGATTATATTGCAATGACAAAGATAAATAACATTTGTAATATAATAGAAAAAATGGATCAAAATTTTCTAAGTTGATGAAGGTGTTCTTGTAATAATTGGAAAATTTCTAAGTTACACGCGACTTCGGTCGATGTTTGTGCTTACGCACTGTCAAGGGGCCAAGTCCTTTTTACTGGTTCGCCAGTTATTTTGCTTTGGACTACGGTCCAGTTCCAACTTAGCGTACCCTTCGGGGGGAGCGCATTAAAATGGTTGGCGTTCACCGTGTGCGGCGTGTGCGGAGCCGTGTACCTCCTCCACATTTTTTTTTAAATGTGGGAGAGCGAAGCCATTGTAGCTGGTATTTGATATAAATATTGTGAGCCTTTTCCAAGCGGGAAGGAATTAATTAATAAGGAATTGACTGTTGTGAACCAGATACAAGTGGAATAGGGACAATTTATTTTTCTTAACCTTTTTGAGCTCTGTCTTCGTGAACGGGGTTCTTTAGCTTATAAGACTCTACCAACAGCTTTCGATTGCTCTCGTGAATATTCATTCTTCTAAGATACACCTAAAATAACTAAGTTACTATACAAACACAACGTAAAAAAGGGTCCTAACTAAGACGATCACGCCATAAATTTATTAAACGGCCTATAAGATATACTGGACACGTAAATTTGATATATTTATATATCTTACAGATATAGATTCTAAAGAAATACAAGTATAAGTGGATATATATAAAAAAAAGAGGGGGGGGGGTTCGTTACAACTGGAATCTATTACCTTGATATCTATTAAAATTGTTATTATTATTTTGGAACTTAGTACCTCTGTTGTTGTAATTGTTGTGGTAATTTATCTGGAACGCTCGACCTCTGGTTTGGAATCTAAAAGAACGATTATTGTTAGATACAACCTCGACCTCTAGGAAAAGTTGAAATTTTCATTACCTCTGCCTGAGTATATGACGATGGAGTGGATTCATCCTTCGCCGCTTGAATGGCTTCTTTTAGCGATGTGTAATTTCTAGCAGCTATAATCGTACTTAACTTTTCATTTTTAAGTCCATCTGTAAATTTTTTAATCACCATTTTTTCATTAATTGGTTTCAGAACTGTACTTTTAGTAACGTCACCCTCAGCCTGTGAAATATTCAAATCAGTTAATAGTTTTTCAAGTTGAGATCCGTATTGTTCAATAGTCCTATAGCCCTGATTCAGAGACTGTATCTGATTATGTATTGCAGTGAAAGATTTTTTTGTCAATAACTTATTACGAAAATCTTGAATCATCAAGTCTACTGAAGTATAAGAATTGGATACGCGCAACTTAGCATTTTCTGATAGCCTGCCCTTGAGAACAAATATAATTAAAAGTTGCTGGCCTTCAATACTAAGCATGTCTGCATACATTTCCACAGCATCAATCAATCGTTTCGTAGTATCTTTCCTATCATCTAAAAGAGGTATCAAGCTACAAGCAGTTTTCAAATCAAAATCCATCTTTTCTGATTTCATCTCTAAGCTGGGTGAAACACACAATTTCGCTATTTCTGCAAATAAAGAACAAATTTTTTCATATGTTTCAGTAATTAAAGATATTTCCGACTTATCCTTAATATTACTTAATGTAGAAAATATATCTTTACTATTATTTAAATATATCTCGGCTTCGTTCAACTTATTTAACGCAATAGAACCTTTATACCTACTTTGTCCCTTCTTAATCAAATATTTCCTTATTTCTGACAATTGCTCATAATCTTTTATTATTTTCTCAGCCATAATTCCATTAATTTCATATAGAAGCTAAAGTTAACTTGCACTCGGTTCATATTTCATTCAATTGATTTTAAATAATTTCATACAGTGTACCGATTACAAATGCTGAATTGCATTTCGACTGATCGCAGCGGTCGAAATTCTTAGAACTAACACATTTTTTTAAAACTATTTTAAATGTTATAGAGAAACAAAATTAAACATGCTACCTAAATTTAACATACACGTAAAAAAAAGGTTTGGCTCACTCTCGTAAAAACTAAACGGGAATGCACTTTTTAGGAACTGCACTAATATAAAACACACCACGGTTTCACGCTGCTTGTCTGCTCACGCGCAGAGTCCAAAAACAGCCGTCGTCATGTGGATATACGGCGTAGGGGCACTCGGAGAAGTCAAGGATCGCTCACTTATGTCCAGGGTCCAGTACAGGGGTAGGCCGGTTACGTAGATATACGGTGTAGAGGCACTCGGAGAAAGTAAGGCAACACAAATTTACACGTCTTCTTTATTACGCGGTTCACGTCTGTTAGACAGTCTAGTGCGCATTCTTCTTAAAAATGCCGCATTAATTTTCTTTTCTACCCATTTCTTATGTTTTTCTTTCAGCTTCAAAAATATGATAACAAACAGGACGATTGATGCCAAAATTAAAAATGTTGTGATCAATATATTGTAAATCTTTATATGATAATCCTTTTCTTCTATTACCACAGTATTGGTTCCTCCAATCTGGGCAATCGTCGTTTCATGTTCTTCATTTTTCGAATTACTATTCCCCATTTTGTTTTTTGGCACGAACACGCGCAATCACAGTCACAAAGTTAATAATTATATTCTTATTCATTATTATTACGTAGTTGCATTCACTGCCGAGGCACACAGGAATGTGCAAAGTCCGCACTTTTAGCCTGCAACCGGACACGCGCGCTTGGCATGGGTCGCCATGAATTATGTTACTAATAATGGAATGAAAGATCAACACGTTTGTTCAACTCGAGTGTTTATTTAATACTGGCTTACTTTCTAATATATCGAATATCACCTACAAGTACATAGGTTACTTCACTTTGAATATTTGTTACATCCGACAAAATTCTTTCCGCAATCCGAATATATATCCGTACATAATCCTCAACGGGACGTGAAGCGTCGCAGAGCAGCTAAAAATGCATCCGTGGAAAGCTCCGCAACGAGTTCGAGATGTACGGCCTTTACGATCATACATATGAATACCGAAACATAACACTTCACTATTTTCGCGTTACGTATTTTATTTGCACGAACAAAAAATGGACCGTCATAATCTACGGCCGTTTTAGCGAATGGACGCGCCGGACGTATTTTCGAAGCTGGTAGTGGTTCCATAATCGGTTGATCACGTGTTAGACGAGCACGGAAGCAACGGACACAGCGATGTATGCGTTGACGCACGATGTCACGGCAAGACAATAGCCAATAGCGCTGCAACTGTATTGCACGGATTGAGGGCCTGCGTGCAGATTGCTTATGTGAGCGTCGTCGATAATTAAATTAGTCAAAGCATGTTTTTTCGGTTAATTATTTGATGTTTAGATTCAAATGGTAATAATGATTTTTGAATTTGACCTCCTACACGTAACAGTGTGTCACTATCCAAAAAAAGCGTAAGACGTCGCAATTAATTAGAAGGTCATTTGCCTTGAGATATCTTTAAAATATCGTCTTAAAAGACCGATTGTTGAGTAAGTTGAATTAGTCGATTTAATGAAAAATTATATTCAGGTATTACAACGTAACCCGGGAACGAATTTTTAACCCTTTTGCATTTATTATAAAACGAAATATTAGTGCGGTTATCCGAACGAGTTTGCCTAGCGAAGAAAATCGCATTATAATTTCGGCATTCTGTACCGGCGATGCCGTAGACACCAGATACCAGAATATAGCGTTAAGTTACGTTTTTCTTCACAGGTGCTCATAGTTTGATTCTAACCGGCCAGTAGTCGGGACTTCGTCGGAACCATGCGGGACCATGGTACCACAAGTCGTGCTGTACCATCGCGGTACGTAGCAAGCCACGTGATGCAGCGTCAGCAGGATTATCGGCTGACGGAACATGGTGCCAGCAGCTGGCGGGAACACGAGATAGAATATCGCTAGTTCGATTGTAAACAAACGTCTTCCATTCATGCGGTGATGAACGGAGCCAGGCCACCACGAAGGGGGCGTCGGACCATGCGTAAATTCGTTCGCGACAGACGCGATCTTTATAAAAATTTGCTACCTTATCTAATAGCTTTGAAGGCAATAGAGCTGCCATCAGCTCGAGACGTGAGATGGTAAGGGGTACGCAGAGCGGAGCTACTCTAGTTTCCGATATAATCAGGTAAGCATAAATATTGCCGTCCTTGTTTGTAAGTCGAATATAGACACAGCCGGCATATGCGATCTGAGACGTGTCGGCAAATCCATGAATTTCTACCGAATCGATATTATTACTGAAAATTTATCACGGAAACGATACCTGTGATAGCAACGGTAGCTCGTTTATGAAACGTGTCCACGAATTAATAATATCAATGGGCGGATTATCATCCCAATCTACATTTGCCATCAACAATAGGTGAATCAAATGCTTGGCATACAAGGTTACCGGTGATAGCAACCCGAGAGTTGCTGTGCCACTTGCGTAGTTCCAATCCCGCCGTCTTACAAATGCCGATAAGCTCTTGCTGCAGAGCGAGAGTTTTAGACTCCGTACCAGAAACAACATCATCGACAAATACACCATTCAATAATACGGGATAAACGAGCATAAAATGCTCGACGTCATTGTGAGCGAGCTGCTGAATTGTACGCAAAGCGAGATATGGTAAGGAATTTACACCGAATGTGACCGTGCGGAGACAGTAATCCCGTATAGGTTCTTCTGGCGATTTACGCCATAAGAAGACCTTTTTTTTTTTTGGTGGGTAGGTGTGAAACAAGTAACAGCTGACTAATTTAGCTCTTATATTTTATTTACATTTAAATATTTTAAACCAGTGTTTGGACTATATGTACTTATCAATTACATTTCTATTACCTTTTCTTTTGAAGTCCTATTAAAATATATGTCCAGATAAGATATTTGTGACTTACACATACCACCCATTAGTGTAAATTTTATTGCAAACTATATCACACATTATCACTTCACTTTGTGTTCACTAATATCACTGCAAATATTGCAAGGAATGGCAAAAGTAACTGATGTGGAGATTATCCAGAGAGAACTGGAAGGAAGCTGGAGTCGTAAGATGGCTGAATTTGAGAATAGATTAAAGGCTGCTTCTACGCCTACAAATCCCTCACTTAATCAACTCCGTGAGGAGTTTTATGAATTCAAGGACCTTGTCTGTTCCATTCTCAATCTCCTTCGGCAACACATTCATGCTTGCACTAAGTCAATTGATGCTATTGATATGCAGCACAGGCAGAACATTCTTCTATTTAATGGGATCACTGACTCCCCAGAAGTTAATATGGAACAAGAAATTCTGGGCATTATACATAAGACAATGGGTATCCCACATGTAACAAATGGGTCCTTATTACGTTGCCATCGAATTGGTGCTCAAAAGGATGTTCATTCACGTCCAATTCTTGTACAATTTCAAGAGCATCTCAAAAAGTCTGAGGTGTGGAAAGCTAAAACTAAGTTAAAGGGCTCTCAAATATCTGTTTCTGAGTTTTTAACTAAAATGAGGCAATCTGTTCTTAAAAAAGCACGCAAGCATTTTGAAATGAAGAATGTGTGGACCTTAGATGGCGTAATTTTTATCAAACTCCCCAATAATGAACGGGCAAAGATCTCCACTGAAGATGAGATTGATACTCTCGCTGAAAAGTTTCCTGTTGATTGTTCACCGGCAAGTCTTGGCATAGCTTCTAACAGCGGTATTACTAATGCTGTAAAGAAACCCATTCAAGCACAGCATAGTTCTTCAAGCACAAAAATACTGTCTGAGATTTCTCGACGCAATCAAGATGGTATAGTGGGGCAGAAAGAGGATCCTAAAAGGTCCCGTCGTTTAGTAGCCAAAAAATAGCTTGCTTAATTTCACATATTATGATATTCCTAGGTATCCTTTATTTTAATTATTTTTTTCTCATATTCTCGTGTTTTTTTTTCTTTTTTTCTATTTTATTAATTTACATATTAATTATTTGTAGACCCGCATCTTCATGGTTGTTATGTCTATAGCACAGAACAATATTGTCTGTAATCATAAGTTGTTTGCCTTTTAATAGCTGTATTATTGCTTTTTTTTAAGTTAGTTTTTTTTGTCTAATAATATTATAATCTCCATAAGATGTTTTGTTTTTCTATATTAATATTTAATAAGATTTTAATCATGTAGTACACAACTTCTTGCGTTTAGTTTTCTTTTGTTTCTTAGTTGAGGTGTCTTACTCAATAGGTTGGTTTCAAAGATATTTTATTTATTATTTACATTACCTTATCTTTGGTTGGTTTATACTATGCTTGGTACATATATTGGTAATAATACTTGTTTTGCAAATGTACCTACCACATATTATTATTTGCAATTTGATTTTTATGAGTTTTGATTTTGACAATAACATTTTTTTAGCCTTTGATAGACAAAGGACACATGTGTCATTCAGCCAATGTCGTTTTTTTTTTACTTTTACTTAATCGATTTTCTTTTAGTAAACATTCTCTTGTACTATTTTGTGTGACACCTACTTAGAAATATTAACATTATTATTAGATAAGAATATCTTTGCCACTTTAGATATTATAGATCCTATGTTTGCATATAAAATTTATTTTATTAAGTTTACTCTGTAAACAGTGAACTGATGGGTTGGGTATGTTTATGTTTAGTAAGTGTTAGTTTATAAATTAGTCTTAAGTGTACATTCCTAAGTTTTTTTTGTGTATTTATTTTAATTTTTTTTATATTTATTTAATTTATTTTTATTTTAGTCCATAAACTATGTCTGATGTTGGGTTGTTTAGCTCTGCAAATGAATCTTCTAGTTTATCTTGTGATGATTCTTTCAATGATAGCGTTCTTAATTTACATGAACTACTTAAAGGAGTTTGTACATCTTTTAACAACTCTCTGAACATATGCCATATTAACGCTCAAAGTATCCCGAGCCACTATTCCGAACTTGAAGCTTCATTTTTCCCCGAGTATATTCATGCCATATTAGTGTCGGAAAGTTGGCTGAAGCCTACTTTACCGTCAACTTTATATCCCCTCCCTGGCTTTGTACTCGTTAGAAATGATCGTATTGGAAAAGGTGGAGGTGGTGTAGCCATCTACCTACACGCATCAATTCCTCACAAAGTTGTTCTAACATCTCCTTCCTGCTATTCTGCTTCTTCTGAGTTTTTATTTGTGGAACTCGATGTCAAGGGCAGTAGGATGCTTCTAGGGGTAGTGTATTGCCCCCCTTCGACTGACTACTTCGCCACTTTAGATATGGCTCTCACTGATATTTGTTCTGAGTATACACACTGTATAATCATGGGTGACTTTAATACAGATCTGTTGAAAAGCTGCCCTCGTTCCAAAAAGCTTCTTTCAATTATTGAGTCGGTTAATCTTTCTATTCTCCCTTTAAAGGCTACTCATTATAATATCGGAACCGATGACTCATTGATTGATTTAATCCTTGCTGCTTCTCCTGAACGTGTGATGATGCACGGTCAGTTACCCGCTTTAGGTATCTCACGCCATGACTTGATTTATGCTTCGTATAAGCTTAAACCACCCAAATATTCACCTACTGTAATGCATCTTCGCAGCTTTTCTAAAATAGACTTTGACAAGCTAAAGAATGACGCTCTTAATCTCGATCTAGCCTCTTTAATTGCAGCACCTACTGTTGACGATAAAGTCTTGATTCTTAACCACAATGTTCTCAGCCTCTATGATGCTCATGCTCCAGTTCATAAGGTCAGATTGAAGCGTCCGCCTGCCCCATGGATGACGGAGGGCGTAAGGTTGGCAATTTCTAGACGAAATCGAGCTTTTCTTCGTTTCAAGAGAGATCGTACTGAAGAAAATTGGTTATCTTTTAAAGCAGCCAGGAATAGGTGTAATCAGATGGTACGTGCAGCTAAACGCCGATATTTCCATAATTGTATTAATAACTCTTCACCAGCCGTAGTGTGGAAATTTCTAAGATCTTTTGGTCTTTGCAGGCCAGCTACATTGGATTGTGGTCCTTCTCTATCACTCGATGAAATCAACCAACATTTCGCTTCTGTAAAAGCATTGGACCCTACAATTCGCTCCCAAACTATGACATCCATTGCTTCTACGCAAACTCCTAACATTCCTACCTTTAATTTTTCTCCTGTT